TTTCTTCCTGGTAAAAGGGAGTTTTTCTTTCCCACTGTTGCCAAATACTTGCTCAAACGACGCTGTTTATTGTTTTTACAATATAAAGCGCCGTTAGGCTACTGTTGTTGTGATTTGGTGAATTGAACTGATCATTGCAATTTAACCAGTTAAGCTGGAATTATTAAATTGCCCATGATAAATTACTATGACAACATAGATCGTACTACCGAAAGTCACAGAAATATCCGTGAAGCTTAAAAGCTTTAGATTGCTGCATAGCCGTGATCATCATAGTGTATTTATGTATATATGTCGGTATCTCCTTAACACGGTGCCAATCTGAGTGAATCTTTGCATGGACTTTATCACACATACTGCGATCATTAACAGCAATATAATTTTACAAAAGATTGAAGATTAAATGGTGATTTAGATTGCATGTATTATGTTAATTTCATATTCCAACAGTGAAAGCACACTGCGTCACATTCTCAGTTTGCGTTAGTTTCACGTGTCACAACACTGTATGTAACTTAATGATTACTAAAATTTGTATTTGCAAGGGAATTTTGTTCGAGAATCAAACTTTAAAAAAAAAAAATGTTGGAGATGTGGAAATATCCATATGTAATGGGCATTTCCACGCAGTTTCCATATAATACCAAAGTAAACCAATGGATCAAAGACAGTGCACTGAACATAAAAGTCTGGCAAGTCTGTTTTCTGTGGTTAAAGTTCTGAAAGTTAATTAATCAATGTAAAAATACTCTTAGTGTAGTCTTTTTTGCTGATTTTAATCAGTAGCCCAGCAGGTTATATGAGAATAACTTAGAGGCAGGGATCGCTTACCCTTTTGTCATCTTTGAAATGAAATCTTGCGTCTTATTTGGCCACACAGCTTTTCTGTATTAAAATTTACATTTGGGAATACCAAATTCCACATACCAAAGAAGCTGTGTACCCAACCCTATTTCATCTAACACAGGACACACTTCTGTGTAATTCCTCTCTGGAGAATTTAGGCTTCCTTTTGACTATTAACAGGATATTGTTTCAGTGCCTTCCATTACAAAAAAGACTCATAATTTTCTGGAATCATAGCCCGGCACGACCTATCATGTTCAAGTTTTGGAGTCCTGAAGCGCCAGGAGGCGTGGTTTAGGACAGAAATGTTTCTTTTTGTGCCAAAATAAGGATTTAATGTTTCTGACTTAATCTTCCAAAAATAAAAGTAGTATTTATTCTGAAAGGCAACAAATAATAAATATTGCTTTGCACCTAAAATAGACTAAGTTGATTGGTTTACGGGGCTAATGGCAAAGAGATTAATGGGTTAGCAAACCGTGTGGAGCTTGAGGTCAGTGTTTTCTGTGTTACAATGTTCCTATTATTCACAGCATATTGCTAGTGTTATATAGCTAGACAATTCCAGCTGTAGCAATATGGTTTATATTTGTAACTTCTTGTATATATGCAGCTAAAACCCCTGAATGAAACCCTGCTGTTCCTCTCATTTTGCACATATTCTTCTTGTTTGTTATTTATTCCTGTTGTGTCACTACTTATATGTCCTGCACAGTTGGTGTGGAGCACCCACAGTGTCATTGTACATGTACAATGACAATTCTATTCTATTCAAGATACAAACTGTGTCGTATTGTCAGTTGGTGATGCAAAAACTCTACAAAGGTTTTTATCCTTGGTTCTAATCTGCTGCTGTTTTATTTGACTTTTACACTGCTGGAATTGTAGCTACTAAAACACAGATTAGAACATTAAAAAGAGCTTTTGTTATAACTAAGATGGCCTATTAAATCAACAAAAGTATATACTGTGAACTAAACCAAAGTGATTTCCATGTCTACTTATAGTAGGCTATGGAACAGTAACATTTAATGTTCAGATGTATCGATTTTAAAGAGCTCTAATATGCAGTTTTGACATTAGAAATTACCTGCAGTGTAAACATAATTAACAAATATGCTATTACTCTTGAGCTAAACCCCAATATTTTAATAATTTTAATAATTTTCAGCTGCATTAGAACTTGAGTTATATTTGGACTTGGGTTGCATTGTGCTGTTATATTTTGTATACTAATTAAGGTGTTTTATCACCATTTTATCATCATTATTTAATAATGTCTCTTACTGGAGTAAGTTGGGACTTTGTGCAGAAAAACAGTCACATGTTCTGTGATGGCCCTTTCACATAGAAAGCGGCATGCACTGCAGTGACTGCTGGTTGAGCGAATGACCCCAACTTTGCTCAGTAGACACAGGTCTCTGCGAATACCACGTCATTTTTTGCGACTGTGTATGCTTATGTGTACTATATGCTCCCAGCCTCTGTCATTCCACAATTCTACTGGTTTGCCCTTGACACGCCCCTTTTTATGAGAGTGTGCACAGAACCTGAAGGTTGGCTTATCAAATAAAGTTGATAGCTGCTTTTGTGATAGCCAGTATTTTAAGCTTTTAAAGGTTTTTTTTTTCAGGCCAGCTAAGACAAAAAAAGCCTGGCTCTATGCCTTCATGGTTTATCAAAGTGGTCGGATGTTCAGCTCAACTGCCTGAGCACCATCTCCCTGGTAAAGCTTTAAGCCTCCACATCCATTAAAGCAATATTAGATGACTAGAATGGACAAATAAAGATGGTGGTAGTATATTACTTATTTTTCAGGTTTGGACTCACACAGAGAAAATACAATTCCTTTTGTAGCTCTCTGTATCGAGCTATGGAAAGTATCTGAGTGTAAAAGAATGAGAAAGCCTCATAAGCAGGGCTAATCCTGGTTGTACAGTGTAAATCATGCACATACATTTTACTTATTCATACCCTGAATTCACATGATTCATGCTTTGCTTTTTGTAGTAATTGCTAATTTAGTCAAAACAGAAATTTACACACTCTTGTCATCCTTTGGGATAGCTACGTCTGTACATTCCAGCCAGATATAGTTTGATTTTGCAAAAACAGCAGCTCAGATGTATTCTGCACACCTGACAGATTTGGCACTTAGAGCCAAGCAGAGCAGGTATATACACCACATTACACTTTATATCACACATTATCACTGTAAGAAAACATACACTACAAAAAGTATCAATATCCTGCTGCAAACAGATTTTTTGTTTGTATGTTTGTTTTTCTCTTCTGACCATATCTCTGTGGGGAAGTCCACAGCCAGTCCAAAGGGAAATTGCTGAATCTGTAAACGGAACACAAACTCATATCCAAACAAACTGTAAACACTTATTTTGCTTCTCTTTCTTTTTTGCTTTTTTTTCTTAAATATTTTAGAGCCACATAGATCAAAAGCAAGGTGATGAAATATCAAGAATTATCAAATGTCAATATAAGCAAAGCGTAAAGGAAAAATACAGAACCACAGACGTACCTTGTGGTCATTTTATCTGTGACTGAAGCCAAATGTCTTGTAATGTAAAAGCTAAACATTATGTACAAATTTACATTTTTGATTCATTTTCTACCATCTTTTCATTCACAGTCTGCTCCGATGTGTTTTTACTGCTACATTAACCTCATTTAGTCAACTATGCATTTCAGCACTCACCAGTGTGACCGTGACTGTCTCGGAAATATTTCCACATGAGAGCAAATTCATATAAACTCAGATTATTATCTCTAACACAACTCTTTGTGTATGCAAAGCTGAAATGATCATTACCTTCACACTGACGGAGTTTGATTCATGTCGAGTCCCGTCATAGCACATAAATCACCATGAATGATTTAGCTCTGGCTAATGCCATCTTACTTGTCTTAAATGTGCTACAGATATTCAGTGTAACAGTTTTCTAATTTAAAAATGATCAATAATCTTAATAACCCTTGGAGCAGTTAGTTTGACATCAGGATGGAAGTCTAGAAAATGAGATAAAGCCAGTCTCAGTCAGAACAATAGACCAATACAATGAGTGAAGTGTTGTGGCTGCCGACAGTGTTCTTCCACTGGCAGGTTTATCCTCCTTTAGTGATTCTGCTCAGAGGCTTTCTGTGCGCTTGACACCACTACAGAAAGTCAAGTAGGTAAGCAGAGAAGAAGCCCATGGAAATCCAAACACAAGTGGTTTGATGCTATTCTGTCTTTTTCTAAGCACAAACCCCATAGAGTGGGCTCCATTCTGATTCTACATCTGTTATGACAGACCTTTTTCAAATCCACTGAGTCCAAAATTGTCTTTCAGCACACACCACGTGTCTCTTTTTAAAACAAAGAAAAATACAAAAAAATACCCAAAGGGTGGTTGAATCACACGGAATACCAAACAAGAATTCCCTGCTTCTCCATGTAGAGAGTTGCTGCCATTGTGCAACAAACCACACTGTAATTCATCATCCAGCTGTCGGTGGGCAAGAGTTGTGTGATTCTCCTCTGTAAGGCTCACTTATTATGAGATGATGTTAAATGTACAAATGGAAAGAGTTAATCTCCAAAATTCTTACTTTTCAGTTTTTTAATCCACATCAGATGTCTCTGATGAAATGGCAAAGTCGGATTTGAAAAGGCCATTGTTTTAAACTTTTGGCTTTTTGTACATCAGTCATTCTCTGCTCGATTATAGTACCAAGATAAATGCCATATGAATGACATTTTTTGAGACAGACTCCTTCAGGGATTTCTTTGCCCTTTTTGCGTCATCAGAAAGTTCAGCTTTCGATCCCTAAATTATGAACTGTTTCATTATCTTGATAAAACATTTTAGGCCATCAATATCATTCTACTCTCAGTGCCTCTGTAAGGCATCACTTTGAGGGGGGACAGTAAGAACTTTAATAGAAAGTGGAACTTGTTTTCCATTACCTTTAATTATTCATTTGAATGTCTCGTTTGACAGCCAAATTAGAGAGAATAAAACAAGATTTGACTATGTCAACTCTTCTTTTGAAAATATCTCTTAAAACTCTGTTGTGGAGATCTGGGTGACTTCTGATTGGAGATCTTGCTGGATCCTCCTTGAACGAGAGCAATGGGGGACCCGGTCCATGCCTAGTCATGCCGGCTTCTTTCCTGCTTCTGTTGGAGCACAGATGGACACTGGCTCCCTGGTGGTGTTGTGGCCTCTGGTCAGACTGTTTTGCTCCACACGGGTCCGACAGGGGAGGCAGAAATCCCTGAAGCATCGCTTGAAATTTTCATCCAGAAATGCATAGAGGACAGGATTGAGGCTACTGTTGGTATACCCCAAAGCGATGCACAGATGCCAGCTAGCTATCACAAAGGGATTCCTGCTGTCAATTTCTATCATGGTCTTCACAATGATGAATATGTGAATGGGGGTCCAGCAGATGATAAAGGCCGCCACCACCACCAGGACCATGCGGGTAATGCGGCGCATGTTGCGGTCTTTCTCCTTGGAGCCTGAGAGCAGACGAACACTCCTCAGACGCAGGATCATCAGACCATAGCATATGGTGATGACCATCACAGGGACCACAAAAGCAAAGATGAAGACGCAGATCTTTGTCACCGTGTCCCAATACCAGTCAGGCTCAGGAAACTTTAACATGCAAGTGGTTTTACCTGAAAAAAAAAAGAACAGTTACATTTTGATGGCGTTAGACAAAATAGGGCTGATGTTAATTAACATCTGTGAAAGATCAGAGCAAAAACCACAGGATTCAAATCCAAAAAACTGCAGTGGAGGCTGTGGTACAAGATCAAGAACCTGTAGTGCAGACTTTTAAATTCAGACAGTCTGTCATGGAAGGTTTCATAATGTTGCACTCAGCTGTTCACACAATAAGAGATAAAAAAGTCCCCTAAAGTGTTGAAGAAGAGAGAATAAAGCAAAAGCTAATAACTTTTCAAAAGTTATAGAAGCAATTACACATGTAGTGACATGTAATTTATGTGTAACTTTAGGCACACACTTATAGAAAATAAGGTTAGGTAAACTTACAGCTGGATTTTACTTGTGTGGGCGACTCAAACTTTAATATCATCCCAGTACAGACCTGCATCACTGAATTTATACACACATTTTATGCATGTGCACCCAGTTATTTTTATAGTTTGTCTTTTCAACCATTACAATGAATACACTACTGTACAATCCCTTCACTCTTTATATTTAAATTTTTTGAAAGATTAGTCACTACTTGCACATTTCACGTTTCCTTGCTGTTAGGCTGATCACTGCACTTTTGCATCCCCGGAGAGGGAACAGGACTGAACATATCGATCGACTGACTGATTGAGTTGAACTCTCTGTTCTCTCAGCCTCATGTTCACATTCTGCAGCATCTTCCTCTTTTTGTTCTTTTAACCCGTTTTTGTCTGAACAGAATAGAACATTGCACACATGAGGGAGACTGACCAAAAACTCCTTATGTTTCTGCTCCACTGTTCAACAGTTTTTCAGTTTCTCCCTGGACCAGGATGGAAAATAATCTGAAAAGGAGTTTAGTTGTAGTCTTGCAATCAGCGACCCTGCAAAGAGCCCCCATCTTTGAGAAATCTAATAGGTTATATCTGAAAACTTTGACTGATAATAACATATTGTTTTTAGCTGTAAGAGGGTGGCAGACTTTCACAATCTTTCCAAAGTTTTCTGGCATGGTAGTCTTCAGTTGATCTTTGTCAAGAGCAGTGTATAGAATAAGTTTTAAGTCAGGATCAACCAAATTTAAGCCTAGACTCAACTATTTCCAGTTTTATTCATTGGCATGCATGTCTGATTTGCAGCAACAC